TTAACGTGTGGCTAGTACTGTGCCTTGTAACTGCCTTGTACTACCTTGTAGTATAGAAGGCTAGTTGAACTATTCCTTCTACGGAATCAGTTGACTCAGTCCCCACAGAATGTACTAGAATACAAGAGGTTTTGCCACTGTATTCTAGAGTCTTATAACTTAGCTAGCATTTCTTCCAGACTGATTTGTCATCACAGGATTCAACAGAAGCTTCTAGATGCTTAGTGTCCATGTATATAGAGACCTCTCCTCTCCTTCAGTTCGTCACTCCTTAAGCAAGCAAGCACAAGTCAAGCAATACAATATAGTCTTTTCTCACAGTGCAGAGTCCACTGTAATCTTCTGTCTTGAGAGCAGAGTCCTCTCTAAGACCTCTTTTACAACATCCTTTTATTGTACTTGCAACTACGCTGCTTCCTTCAGCATTGCTGTCGTACTTCCTACCGCTTCCGCTCCGCTCTGCTACAAGTGCATAGTTCACTGTAGCAACCTTGTACTGGTGCTATCATTATAGGCCAGTCAGGGCACCGCAGGAAACAAGTTGAAATTTCTTACGCCGTTACTCTTTCTTTTATATAATACCTGTTATCGCGTATACTTTATAATCGTAAATATATAAATAATTGAGGTTAAATTTATGAGGTTCGGTTTGTACCCCTTTACAATAGGCTACGAAAGTATAAAACCGTTCGTATAATAATTTCTAATTGTAGAGATATTTAAATAATCGGTTAATAAGGTAAATTAAGGCTAAAACGATTTAAAATTAGAAGTTATAAAGGAATTTAGTACTATCTATTATTATATACGCCTTTTCTTTAATTATACCCCTTAAACGCTTAGTACCGCCGTTTTAAATTTAAATATTAAATATTAAGGGCTCGAGAATAATCAAGCGTATAATTAGTTTATCCCTAACATATTAACTATTAAATTTATTATTATATTCGATGTATTTAATTTTAATGTTATACTAGTAATTAATTGTATTAATAACCGAAAGGAGTCCTTTAATAATAGTTTTAATTATTCGGTTCGCTATATAAATATTTTGAACGAATCTAATCTATTAATAAGTAATAAATATAATGTATTTAAGGCTACTTCTCTTTACTTTATATCCGAGGAAATCGACAGCGAAACGCTTTCCCGGGCTAAATCCCCTATTTCGTAATTTTTATTTAATTTATTATTTAATCTTTAAGATACTATACGTATTGTATTAATAAGTAGTAAGCCTTTTAAATTTAGCGCCTTCAACGTTATAAAGGTATTTAAAGATTTAAGAATTATAATAATTAAATTGCTTATATTAAAGTTTAGCGGGCATCTTATATATATAATGGCTAATAAAAGAGTTAAAGCGATTTCGATGAATAAAGAAAGTAAATAAGGCTAAAGGAGAAGGGTAAATATTCGAGAACTATTTAATAATAGATTTTTTAAAGGAAATAAAAGAGTAAACGGTTTAGCCAACGGAGGTAATTACTAAGGAGTTTATAATCCTAATAAAAACTTTACTTTCGAAGTAGGTATAATAATATAAAGTTTATAGTAAAGTTAAGGAAGAAAACTACTTTTTTTAATCGTAACTTCAAAATTCCCTTCTCTCCTTATATTTTTACGTTAATAATCCTAAAACCCTTAATAAGTATTTAAAATTTACTAGTTTAGACGTAGTCCTTTAGGGATGTTATTTAAAACGAAAAGAAAATAATTAATTTCGTTAAAAATATAAATAGAAACCTAAAGTCGAAGATTATAAAATTCTTAAGTAAATAAATATTACTCTTACTACGATTTACGCTAAAAGTATTGTATTTAACGAAAAATACTAAATTATAAGTACCAATTTCTTATTTTTTTTTCAATTTTTCGAAATAATAATCTATATAAAAGTAATAAAACGGTTCTGTATTTAATTCTCAACCTTCTCAACCTCTTTACTAATTTCGGGATATTTTTTAAAACTTTTATTCATAAACTTTTAAATAAGGCCGCTTAATTTCTATTTAAGATTATCCTTAATTTTAAATATTAAATATTAGTAGTATATTATTAAATAAAGGTTTCGTTCGTAAATTTTACAAAGCAGTGTAACGCGTCCTTTTCTTTTCGGCCGTAAAAAATTCTTTATATTTTTATCTACGCTACGATTTTTTTTATATTTACCTTCCGTTTCTTTCTATAATTAAAATTAGAAGCGTCCTCCTTATTAAATACGAACTTTTATAAATTAAAGTAGTTAATACCCTAGGCGTTACGAACTATAAGTTTCTTAAAGTTAATTAATAGTATAGTACGTTTTAGTATATTAACCCTTTTAAAATTAATAGATACGTCCTAATATTTTAAAAATAGTTTTTTCGAATTCGTTATTAAATTTCTAAGAATTGCTAATTTAAATAAGTTTATATTTACGGACTATATCGATAAAGTTGGTAAATTATAAGGTAGGGGAAGTTATTTTATTAATTCCGAATCTCTTCCCATTTATAATAAGGATTTCCTAATCGGATAGTTACTTTTCAAAATCTTTGAATTACTTCTTTATAGTTTCTTTAATAAAGGTTTCATAATTTCAACAAATTTTAGCAATTTGGTTAATAAGTCGATAATTAATTTAATTCTTAATTTCTCTAAATTAATCGCGGGTAGATTTCTCCTATTTAAATAACGTATTAATATAGTAGGCAGCGATATAAATATTCATTTAATTTCAAATTAAAATATTAGTATCGTCGAAGTCTTTTTAATATTTATAGCGAATATTATATATATTATTAATTTAATTGTACGTTACTTTCTTAATAACTATTAGGTCGGTAAAAGGGTTAATAATTATATCCTCCCTAATATTTTATTCGGTATAATATTTATTATCCTCTTCTTCTTCTTCTTCGTTTTCTTTTCCTAAATTTCCTTCCTTATTATTTTCGTTAGTATTGGCGGCGGCTTCTTTTTAAAGTTAAGTAGTAATAATAGTTTTAATAATAGTACTATTTGTATTAGTAATTGTAATAATTATTACGGTTATAATTACAGCCTTCTTAACCCGGATTCTTCTATTGAATTTAACGAACTCTTTCTTTGCCGCTAAAAGGCGGTCCTTTACTTACTTAGTAAAGAAGAAATCTTCCGGCTTCGGGGGTAAAACCCTTTAAATTATAAATCTTCCTTTAAATAATTAATTATTAAAATCCTAATTACTATTAGCGAGTCTCTTGAAAATTTTATACTAATTAGGCTAATTAGTAAGGGTATTAAAGATAACTATAATAGCTTTATCGGTAAATTCTTTTAATAAGGATATAATTAATATTATTGGTTTCGTAGGGATATTGCTTATAATCAATAATTGTACCGTTAAACGTAAATATGCAAATCTGACTATTAATTATTAGATATAATAGTACAGAATTAATTAATTAAAGAGTGTGTGATTAATTCGCCTAGAAGGTATAGGGGGTGTTAGGGTAACCCAGATATGCCTAGAAATTAGGCAATATCAGGTGGCTGGAGCGCTAACCTCCATATGGTATGGCTAAAACCACCCTTGAATCTGACACATTGAGGTTCGGGCGCTAAGCCGCGATGCCAAACGGGCGCTTGAACAATTCCAGTCTCTTTCCAGGGGCAGTCTTTTCCGAACGTTTGACGGCTCAGAGACCGATCTTATGGATGTACAAAACTCCATCGCAAGGAGTGTCATACATACCAGTGCACTACCGTACCGCTCCTCGCGTATGCATGCCGGTATTGCTCACTCTCGCGATATTGCTCTGACTCCGGGAGCCTGGGTGGCGGAACATATGGCATGAGGACAAGACATGGCGGCTTCATCTTTTTTCCCGCTCGACATGACCTCGCCTAAACTTGCATGCACATTCTCGCCTCGACTCGCCTTCGATCGTTTTCAATACCACGGAACATGGACGACCGCGGTCGCCGTTCTAGATGTTGTCCCGGTCGTCGTCGAAACACCAAGACCTGGAGGACCCACTATCACCACCAAGCCGCAAGCGTTTCCTTTTTTGGTCAACCGCAGCGTTACATCCCCCCATGAAACGTGAGGAACACCCCCCCACACAGATCCCTGTCCAGGGGAACTGGGGAAGAAGAGCCTCCGAATGCTGAATTGGGAATAGGGGGATCGCGGTGGGCGTCTTGATGGTCTTGGCATATTTTTGGTGTTCCGGCTGCGAAAGGGTCTTTCGACACTCGGTGATTTAGGGATCTCAACAATGGTATCGATAAACATGGCTGATGCAAGGTATAGATCCGAGTATGGAGAGCATCACAAAAACGTTCAACGGCCGCACTTTGATGGTGCCTGACCAATATCCCCAAATCAAGGCAGATGTTTCATGGACTGTTCGGCCGAACGCTCAAATGCTACCTAGAGTTTACGCGGTTTCAAGAAAACCGGGCTTTCCTCCGTTCACCCTCTTTTGTCCCGGTACTCGGCACTCACCGTGAAACCGGTCACCCAGAGCCTCAGACGGAATGCTACCCGATGTTTCCTCTAAGACTCGGGCCGTTCCACCAATGCTGGAAGTTTCCGCACACACAATGTTGCCCCTGACGATCCATACCCGCTGGTGTTCCCGTCCACTTCCAACAGCCTACCCGCCTTCAAACGTGGTGGCTTTTCCAAAGCGCTTGCACTTTCCCCTTGACCTCTGGTCCTGCTCATCAAATGTCTAATGACAGGATGCCTCTGATCGATGTCTCCACGCGTTGCGGCAACGTCGATGTTGCGGTATCACCGGGATTGCATCCTTGACCATGGACTCCAAGCGCCGATACCATGGATGAAGGCCCGTTAGTGTAGCCGGGGCCGTGTTCAACACCAATCCAAGTGGTATAAAGATGACCGGAGATCCCAAGTCGTTAGGAGGAAGAAGAAGAAGTAGCAAGACATCAGACTTCACCATCTAAATCTCCAGCATCTCATTCTTTCTCTTCTCTTCCCGTCCATCATACCTTCCACATTCACAATGGCCCGCAAGAGCATCCTCACCGCGTTGGCTGGCGCCTCCCTCGTCGCCGCCCACGGCCACGTCTCCAAGGTCATCGTCAACGGCGTCGAGTACCAGAACTACGACCCCACCAGCTTCCCCTACAACTCCAACCCTCCCACCGTGATCGGCTGGACCATCGACCAGAAGGACAACGGCTTCGTCTCGCCCGACGCCTTCGGCACCCCCGACATTATCTGCCACAAATCCGCCACGCCCGCCGGCGGCCACGCCACCGTCAAGGCCGGCGACAAGATCTCGCTCCAGTGGGACCAGTGGCCGGACTCGCACAAGGGCCCCGTGATCGACTACCTGGCCGCCTGCGACGGCGACTGCGAGACCGTCGACAAGACGGCGCTCAAATTCTTCAAGATCGACGGCGCCGGCTACGACAAGGGGGTCTGGGCCGCCGACACCCTCGTCAAGGACGGCAACTCCTGGCTCGTCCAGATCCCCGAAGATCTCAAGCCCGGCAACTACGTCCTCCGCCACGAGATCATGGCCCTCCACAGCGCCGGCCAGGCCAACGGCGCCCAGGCGTACCCCCAGTGCTTCAACCTCAAGGTTGAAGGCTCCGGCTCCAACCTCCCCTCCGGCGTGCCCGGTACCGAGCTGTACAAAGCCACCGACGCCGGTATCCTCTTCGACATCTACAAGAACGACATCTCCTACCCCGTCCCTGGTCCCGCCCTCATCGCAGGCGCCGCGAGCTCCATCCAGCAGAGCAGCATGGCGGCTACGGCTACCGCGTCGGCGACTGTCCCTGGTGCTGGCGCGACTGGTGGTAGCAGCCCTGCTCCTGCTACTACTACCACCGCTGCGGCTGGTGTTACTACTACCGCTGCCGGAGCTACTACTACTAGCCAGGCGCAGGCTCCTACTACCACGCTGGCTACTAGCACCAAGGCTGCTACTACCTCTGCTCCTGCGTCGAGCCAGGCGCAGGCTACTACTACTGCTACTGCTCCTGCGTCGGGAAGCGGTAGCGGTAGCCAGGCCGCCCAGACTAAGTGGGGACAGTGTGGTGGTAATGGGTGGACTGGTCCTACTGCTTGTGTGAGCGGGTCTACTTGCACTAAGCAAAATGATTGGTATTCTCAGTGCTTGTAAGAGAGTGATTGAGAGTAGTGAGTGGTGGTAGAAGGAGGGATGGAGAGAAGAGAAGTGGGTGTAAAAGGGAAGGAAGGGGAGGGAAGATGGTGATGATGCTGTGGCATTGTGGTGGCCGCGTGGCATGGCATGGCATGGGCTCACGGGGGAGAGATTGATGTCCCTGAGTGAAGAAGAGAGGGAATGTAACATTACTAAGCCATTCACCATTTTAGATCTGCTTGTACATAACTTTGCATCATATATAGACTTACATAGATATTATATCCACCATCTGTCCCCGTCCCTGCTACCGCTTGAGGTACTACCTTGCCCTTCTGCATTTCCTCGTTCCCGTCCGTGCCATTTGCCAGGGGAATCTAGGTAAGGTACCTCTACGCCGCTAATGACCTGAAAGGACAAGAAACAGTTACACGTATCTTACCCGCCGCCTGATAGAGGTACCTTCTTTTTGTAGAAAGAACGGATGGAAGATATAAAACACATGTTTAAGAGCGTATTATGAGTTCACAATTGCTTATACCAGCTGGCGTTGCCGTTTGACCTTTTCGGTCCAGCTGATGATAACGATGTGATGTGTCGACTCATGCACTTCTCGTGGTGCCCTTCAAAGCGTCGATCAAACGCTCCATGGATCTAGATCTTTCTCTTTACTTACTTTAGACTAGAGCATTTACTTGAGCTTTCTACAATACTCGGCTGATATATCTATCCTCATCTTCAAACTCTTGAAAATCTATGTCACAGGCAGTCAAAAAAGACGGTCCCGTCTCTTAGTCTGTGCCGCCATGAGAGAGAACAAGTATTTTTTCTCACTGGTAGATTAGACGCGAGAGAAGCAACCGCGTTTGCTTTCAGTCAAAACTTAGGCCATGTTGAAACAGCCTGAAGAGCTTGAGGTTGGATGATGGAATCTTATAATCTCTTCAAATTAGGTTGATACCTAGTATCTATGGCAAACGGACTCGAGGAACCAGACAAAGTGTATCAACAACTCAATTCTTCGAGTTTGTAAAAGAGCTTTGCAGTTGCGGAAAGTGAAGAGCCGGCGATTGAATCAACAACTCCAACTCAAGACCTTCAGTCGACCTAATTACTATCATTATGAACTAGCATCCCTCTCCTTCTACCACCATCCATCCTGCTCCTACTCACACTGCTCAAGCAGCGTGGGTAGAGGCGGTGAGAAGAAGGTCAATCGAGTTGACCAAAGTCTTGCCGGCTCATCACCGGCTTGCTACGAGAGGAGATGTGAATCAGCTATTGGTCACAATGAGCTCAAATTCTGCTCGCCAGAAGCCAACTTGGTTGGAAAAATTGGAGCGAGTTGTTGGGAGACTACAGGTTATTAGTGGCCCGATTGGAGTTCTTTGTCAGGCAAATGGCATTGCGTTGGTGGTGAGTTGAAAGAATGGAAAGCTTCTTACCTAATCTTTAAATATTTCTAAAGATACGGCACAGAGGGCTCTTGCTAACTGAGTGCCTTTTTGTCACTAGATATGGGGTAGTTTGAGGTTCGTACTGGATGTAAGTTGCAACTTCTACTTTTCGTGTATTTCCAGTCCGCTCTTTCCCTCCTTCGTTCCGTACCAGTCCTCTACCCCCCTTCTTTATTCCCAGGCACTTGTGATGGTCGTCTTACACGTCAGTGTGGGCAACTATGTGTCGCACGAAAGATGTGAAAAATCGTGGTTGACTGTTCCAGAGAGGAACAGAACCCAGCGCTCTGTGTCTAGGGTACCTATCACTAATATACCTCTACATGTGCGCGCGCAGTGCTGTGACCGACATGCAGGAGCGTGTCGGGCACGGCGCTGGCACAAGGGGCTTGCTTGCCCGACTGGACAAGAGCCTCCTCCTCCGGAAGGGGCCCTGCCGGGATCTTCACAACAGGTCATTATGTCCCTCTTTTATTTCATATCTATCTCATTTTCCCATCTCCTTCTCTTGGCAAATTCGATCCCAAGTAGAATCATTCTTCTGGGGCAGGAACGCCCCAAGTTTGCACTTTACAAGCGGCAAGAACCACTTTCTTCCGGAAGACCCACTTTTCCCGGACGACAGACAGCCGCCGCACGGCCGGCTTTGCCGACTGTCCACTGTGGCAGTCGTGACCGAACCTCCACCAAGTTATTGTACCTCTGGGGGACGTTAGGGGGTATTAGCGTCGAACAACAACCCCAGATTCTCATCCCGAGGCTCGACACGCGCTATTTCGACGAACGCCACTTCAACCACGTCGGGCAGAGTAACCCCGTACGGCAATTCGTTCCAACAAATTCTGGCAGATGAGGGAATTTACATGAATGACGGCCGCTCCAAGTTAGCCAACCTGGAAGAACTACGGAAAGAAAGAGATGTGAGGCGCTCATCACAATGCTCCGATGGTGAGATCAAGGACGTCATCAAAGCAAATTACAAAGCGGCCACGGAATCAGACATCGAACACGACATCATCATCATCGTCACTTTCAACCAATCAATTCATATCTCCATCCCGCAGTATTCTACCAACGCATCACCACACAGAACTTCTCGTTTCTTCGTCTTCTTTGTCCATTTACTTGTCTTTCTTTCCCGTATCCATCAATCTTCTTTCCTTTTTCTTTCCCCTTCTTTTATGTACAGTCAGAGAGAGATATTCTCTTGGGTCCCAAATTCACGAGCGAAATTAACCTAGTCCCAATCCAATATCTCAGGACGTCGCTGCGGCTTTCCCAGCCACGATATGCAAAAGACACGTCCTAACGATGAATAGTAAAGGAGGAGCGGTATAAGGCGGACTTGAGAAGAAAAATGGGAGAGTGGCAAGGGTTACGGCAACTACAATTGCCCGAATCGCCGCGCTAGGCCAAAGTCCTCTGGTTGGACCCGGTTTCCCGCCCACAGCCTTCTCGGTTCTTTGCCAAGGAACGGAAAGTTCTGTGAGAAAGACCAGGAAGTCAACCAGCCTTCTTAGAGAAATTCCAGAGCTAAGTTCTCCTTGCCAACGCCTACAACGACTACGGTTGCCAGTTAATTCACGCCCATGAATACGAGAAGGCAATGAAGTACCTTCTCGACCCTTTGAAGGTGAAGAGGCAGCTCGAACAACAGGGTTACTTTATCCCTGTGTTCGAGTTCGCCGAGACACTCCACAACATTGCCTTCGCAGCAATGGGCAAGGATCTTCCATCCGATGAGGTATTGAGGCACAGCCAGAAGGCTCTGGATTTGATAAGCCAAGTTGATGGTCATACCAACGACCACACCCGCTTTCTCTTTTGCCGCGGCCTGGCTTTGTATTTTGCGCACCGGAATGCAGAAGCCCTCGCAGTTTTTGAGGGAGTGTACCAAACATGTACCGGTACATTCGGCGCCCTAAGCTCCCAGGCCCGAGATGCTGGTTACGCAGTTGGGTTCTTACTATACACCATGGGTAGGCCTTCGGAGGCTCAGGCTTTTGTCGAAGGGTGTTTGATTAGAGGTAAGGAGCAAGCCGGGCTACTTTGGCCCAAAGAATGCCGCACGAGAGCTAAATACCTTTATTCCCTCATCCTTCTCGCTCTCGGCAATATTGGGAGCGGGGATAGGCTACGGGATGAGGCCATTCGGGAGCTGAAAGGCCACTTGGTAGCTGCTTTTCCAGGTACTCTACCTACGGAGCTGAATGCCGCCCTTTCCTTCACCGACGATCTGGTCGGCTTTGAAGTCTTTGGGTCTGTGGTTCCTTTCTTTGCTGGGAGGTTTGATGTGTATCACTAGGTAGAGGTACATTAGCGATCATTGATTTATTTTTCTCAGGATCACGAGAACGGATGGACGATAGGTTTCACGAATAAAGTACGTTGTGACCGGATGTTACAAATTGCTGCCCGTCAAAGTCGTTAATGAGCCTGGTAAGAATCATCATCTCGGTAGGAGGTGGCTCTGGACTGTTTAAGATTGATGGTCGGCTGAGAGGCGAGAGGCCGAATATGGAAATCCCGTTGGTGAATGTGGTGGCGACACTGGGCCAGAAATTGCCGAGGCCACGGCTGCCAAGGTCTGGGGGCGCGGTAGTGACTTGTAAACACCGACATCAAGTGCTCAAATCACCTAGGTATTTTGGCCTCTTTCTCGACGTCTCATTCTCTGCTGATCTCCCTTTCCCCTTTTCTTTCCCCCTTTTTTATATCCTGTTCTCCCTTTGTTTTTCCCCGGAACACCCTAGCACGTCTTCCTTGTTCTTCTAGCTCTCCTTCCTACCTCTCGTCACCAACCTTCGAAAACACCAAAGCTCGGACCTCAATGCTCTCCCTGGGTGTCGCGTTACTACAGTCACCGGCCTCTTGCACAGGCTGCTCACCGCTAGACTGTTTGAAGGAAGTATGCGGACAGCCTTCCCACCGGAATCTCTGTTAGCCACGTGCGTTTGTCTCAAACACTCCCCGTTTACCCCTATTCCCTGTGGTCATGATGGGTCCTGGAAAGCCACACTTACACCTCGCTTTCACCCCTTCCGCGGAATCATAAGTCTTGAAAAACAGAACTTCATCCTTCGTCTGCCGATTCAAGTAGTACCACTTCATTCCTTGATCGTACAGCGGATAAAGCCCTTCGCCTTCGTAGTTCTTCCTTACGTGGTCGACGGCTACTAAGTTCTGTGGCTGGACTGTACTGCCGTCGCAAACGGCAAGGGCATAATTGGCTACGGGGTGTCGAAGGGGGCGCCAAACGCTTTTCCGGGGTAGAGGTTGTGAGCTTGGTTTGAAGTTGAAAAACAGGTTGGACGGATAGCTACCTGTAGAGGTACGTACTTGATAATTCGGAAGCGCCGCTGGAGAAGCTCATTGGCCCGAGCGCCCATGTGATGCTTGACTCGTTTGGTGGCGGCTAGTGGGCTTTGGTCTAAGATGAAGGTGTAAGATGAAAGTGAGTCAGTGGTAATTGAGTGGTGCCTGGGCTGAGTGAAAAAGTGCTAACCAATGTGAACAGCGTGCACGGGCTTCAGGATGAGCATTGGATCGTCGAGATCGATGACACTCCCGGATTTGGCAGTGGTCCGCCGCTTGTCGTCACTCGTTCGAAGCTTGAGTTTAGGGAGGAGTGATGGTTAACGGTCGCTTCCAGGGGAGAACCACCGAGTCGGAGGAACACTTGACCATGCTCACTCACTCTCCAGTCAAAAACCACCACCTCCGCTCCCGGATCGATGCTCTTCAGCAACCCCACAATTTTTGGGAGGTACTCCCTCTCAATCCCTTCCTGGTCAGTCGGTATGACTCCAAGCTCCTGCCTCGCTACCTGAAATGCATGGTCATCGAGGTTGAACAGCTCTTCACTGCCTCTGATATCGTGGATGGTCTGCTCTGATGAAGGGGCGAGAGTGAAGTTCTTTCTCGGACAGCCTTCAGGGGCTTGTGAAATGAACTCGTATGGTTTCTCGATTCGGAACTTGTCCTCCCATTGGATGTAGTTAAGCTTCGCCTTTTGATCTACCCGGCCTGCCGTGGCGCGCTCCTGCTGTGGCTCATCTTCCCCGTTCCTATCCATTGACGTTGTTGGAAGTATTGGTTCTTCGGTAATTCGAGATTAAGATGAGGCTCTGGTGTCGGTGTGTTGCCAGGACTGGTCTTACCTGCAGAACGAAATCAGAGTCAGTGGTGGCTAGGTTGCGCCCGAGTGATAGGAGGAAAAGTTGGCCTTTGTGCAGAGCACTTGTGATTGGGCTGTGACATCACGGGTTTGAGAAGACGATCAGTTATCGTGGCCGTCAGATAGCGCAAGAAGTGATGAGCAAATGTGATGATCTTATACGTTGAAAATCTTCGTCGTTCCTTCTCTGAATTTCCAGCCCCGTGTAGCCCAGCCGCCAAAATCACAGTGGCGTTTTTCCATTGAAGCCCTACGCCCTCCGAACCATTTGGGGATAGCAGAGGTCCTTGCTATATGAAATGAGGTTGGGGTGTGGTATCGTGTAAGCCCCCCAGCTTATCCTCATTTGTCCATCCGTGTATTTCCCCAAGAGCACCCCGCGAATCATCCATTATTGCATGCAGTTCAGAACTCCCGTGCTCTAGTGGCTTTGCCTGCCGCTATAACTCGCCCGTTCATCCCGCCTCAAAATGTCGTGTAAAGCCTGATTCCTGCAGTTAGACCAGACTGCGTCTCCGCAGTAAATATCGTCGTCAAAATCTCAGGCCGCGATGAACCCAATACCGCAATCACACTCCCCTGATCGTTTTCCACACTCTTTGCATACGTCGTCCTGCGAGCTAGAGCCACTTTTGGTGCCTGATTGAACGACAAGAACGTCTCGTTTAGCGTTTTCTTCGTTTTCTTCATTGGAGTCCTTATTGAAGTTCTTCCATGGCTGTGATCTGCCACCGGTGGACTCGGCAAAGTGATCGCTGCTTTTGGTGTCTACTCCCGACGAAGTTCCAGACATTGCGTTCCGATGTGACTGGTCTTGAACGATTGGCGTGTGATGTGGAGCTGAGAAGCCCTGGTTTGAGTTAGTACGTGGCTGCAAATCTGAGAGGTCTTGACGCAATGCGCCAGGCGCCTGCGATGTCCGGCAGTGTTGATCGAATACTTACTGGGAGATGTGTCAATTTCTATGTGCGTTGACAACCGGGGATGTTTGGAGATCTCACAAACATGCTTGTCCGAGGACGTACATAGACCCTTTTATCTCCTGTAAGAATTGATGAAATGACAGAAAGACCGGTGGTCTGGCGCTACCGCCTCTGAAGGTCACCTGGAGGATCTGGCTGTCCGTCTATCGGGACCCAAAAGTGCACAATGTGACAGCTCCCGTGAAGAATATGGAGAAGGGTTTCACTGCATAGCTGCCTTAAACGCGGCATGGCCACCGTCAATGTTGATGGAGACATAATGATGCGGCTCAGTGCTTGGAACCTTTTCCCTCGAACGGGCAAAGCATGCAGAGGGTGGTGGCGGTGAAAGCGAGTGGCTTGAGTCGGAAGTGTGATTGGAAAAGACAACCGAATTTATGCACACTGATACGCCATTCAACAAAAGAGCTGCAATAACCCCCGCGTCTCTACACCACCTTTCTGACTATGTACCAGAAGTAAGCAAGGGTTTGAAGCAAACCGGCCTGCCGGTCATGGATGGCGGCTGCCATTAGCAGGTCTTTGACATCAAGTCACGCTTGGAAAGCCTTACAGAAAAAAGTAGAGTGTCTTTGGTCGCGCAATACACCGAGATTCCATTGCGTGTAGTGCATGTATACCTCCGACCAGCATGTCACCGTCCTGAACGCGAGAAGTGTGCCTTTTCGGGTAGATGTCTTGGAGACTTCCGTGAACCTCTCGAAACCAAGCGCCAGCTCTTCTTGACAACCCTGCGAAGTGTCGCTTGGAGGAACGGTATGACTCCATTTGAGAGCTTTGGAAAGTTTCGTGAGAGATGCACCTTGTTCTCACGTCGAGCTAGAACCATCCCGTTCCCTGCCCAGTTGAGCGTAACAGCCTCATGAGACCGCTCTTGGTTGAAGTTGAACTTGATCTTGAAATACTCCGGGTCCCATACCGTGAATCGTGCTCGCCGTGCTTGCTGGTTGTAGTCTAGTGCCCATTCAAAGATATCATCCTTGAGGTGACGGAGCTCATAGAGTTGTGATTCCCGTCCTTGGAACCTGAGCTCCAAACAATCGCCCTTTTCCCCCTGATCCTTCGGACAACGGATGTCGATAAAAAAATTCCCAGGCCAGCTACCCTTCGAGTTGTAATATCTCCCGGTGTATAACTTCAATTGTCGCGGATGAAAGTAGTTCCTGTTGCGCTCGTTGTCAAGGCCCATTCTCATTGTCTTCACAAGACCGAGTTTCCGACCCCGACTTTCCTTCGCCAGTTCAACGTACTTCTTTGCCAGATCAAGGTACGTTCTCCCTCCATCTTCAAATTGGAATAGCGCGGTGATGTATATTTGAGCGATCCAGTCCGCCACGTCGTTGAGTGGCATAGAATTCGTTAGAACCACCACAGCGGAATTGGATTCGGGAAACATGAAGATTGCGGAATAGTACCCAAGCCCGGCGCCTTGGTGGTAATAGGTCATCATTGGTTGTGATTTTGATCCGAGTACTGGAAGCTGGTCCCTGTTGAACAGTTCTGCGTTGTCTCCCTGCAGGCCCACAACGTCTGGAAGTGCCGTCCGAACCCATCCGAACCCGTAGAAGCGATGATCTCTGGACGGATTGTCCAGAGGCACTTGGTTGCTCAAGATTGTTGGGACTTCCTTAAGATAACCAGAGTATGACCTCTGTTCAGCAGCAAGAATTGCCTTCGCCCATGCAAGAAGGTCGTTGACGCTCGAGTAGATTCCCCCAGCAGTTTCGAATATGCTCTTCTCAAAAGGGATTTTCTTTGGTAGTTGGTAAAGGTCGCCGTTGTCCAGTGCTGCATGAGCAAACGCAAAGTCGCCGTTTGGATCTGGTCTTGTTGTTGTACTGTGAAGTGATAACGGAACGAGCACATAGTCTCGCAGGCAATCTTCAAACGACTTCCTCGAGTATTTCTCTAAAACTTCGCCGGCGAGACTGTAACCCCAGTTATTGTAGATCCAATCAGCTCGAAATTGTCCGACCTTGTCGAGGGTTGCCACCACTGGCAGAACTTCATCCTTTTGGAGGAGGAACTCTTGGTCCCCCTGATGGGCGATAGACATATCTCCGTTGAGCCCAGTTCGGTGAGAGAGGAAATCGGAAAGAGTGACCAGGTGTTGTATTCTGTCATCGGTGTTGAAACCATCAAGCAGATCCTTCATCGGTGTACTCCATTCAAACTTGGCCTCCTTGCCCTCACCACGGACCTCTGCGAGGCACGCAACCACGAAGCTCTTGGTCATGGACCCTATGCCGTAGACTGTATCGGGACCAGGCTGGCGTGGCTTAGGGTAAGACTGGTTGCCGACAACTGTTCCATGTCCCTTGGTGAAGATGACCTTATTGTCGTGGAGTATACCCACGGATGCCGAAGGAGCACCTGAAATCTTACACACATCGTCGACGATGGAGGTAACGGATTGGAGACGATTTCGTATGACCTCCTCCTGTGTGCAAATCATGATTATGAAACGAAAAAACTCAATGGAAACGATAAGGGAGGAGAAACACTACCGAGAACTGGAGGACGCCTCCATGTGAGTGTGAGTCGAGCGCATTGGCACCATAATATGCGCCCGTATGGTCCTTGTGCATGCCCGATTAGGTGACACACCTCAAAGCACCTGCATTGCAATTGGGTTTGGGGCCACACTTCCGCTCAGGGAAAGTACTGTGGTGAATGATCCAGTCAATGACAGGAGTGACCGGTTGCACCTACACCCTTGGAATTACAGCGCGGGCTGGTATCGTTGTACCAGCGCGAGTGTTGAAACGTTTTATATCTGCATGGGTCTTGATGGCTAATCTAAGGAAAGCGCTTACTTCAAGAGTGGTCGAACCGTCCACCGGTTGTCTGAATTCGTGAGAGTCCCGTAGTGGCTCGTGTAGTACTGCATAGAGGTAATCAGCCGGTCAGCGTATGTACACCCCACCTTCCGTCGAGATAATCAGGTGCCAACCGGTCATGAATTCGTGATGCGGGGGTTCTTAAGGCTGGTCAAGAAGGAGCTCTAAGTGTAAAAACACAACGAAAATTTTTTCCTTCAAACTGCCCTTCGGCATCGGAAGCAATGGAATGTTGGACAACAAGGTCGGCTTTTGCCGTCCGCCGTCCCTGTTTGCTACAGACCATCTCCACTCGTGTTATTATTTCCCGAGGTGGCTTTCTTCCAATTTTCTTGCCTTCATTCGCTTCACACGACCTAGATATGCATCCCTTTCCTTTCTTCCTCACATGTATGTATTCCATTTGCTTTAACCTGGTGTAGCTGCCTGTGGGGCTTTATCTTCAATACATGGCATGTATGGAACTCGATTTTCAGCAGCACTGTTTTCTGCTTTTGATGCCCAGATAACCCAGAACACATCCCATACACTAATGGAGGATCAAAACAGGAACAGATTGGGTGGCTGATGAACTCTTACCCGCAGGCAAGAAGGCTTAGCAAAGGAGAAAGCCTACGTGCACCCACCCCAAACCTACACGCACCCAGAAATCTACAAAACAGTGGGACCGTCAGCTGGATGACACCTGACATCGTAAACCCCGTTTTTACCCGCTAAATTTCGTCTTATCAATGCATGAAACATTGACTCTAACTTGGTCAAATTTTTCAATTTTGTACACCACCCCTTTGCAGCCATTTGTACGTCGCATACTAACACCCACCACCCACCCCTATAATACCCTCAACGTACGTAATCTTATTCAAATCTATTAATTTCGATCGTCTGCAATTGCGGTTGATCGTTCGAGAGGCACAACGGAGGGAGGAGGCTGGAGGAGAGGCCAGAAGGGAGGGTAGAGGGGAAGGTGGAGGGGAGGAAGCGCCCATTGAAATATCCTCTGAACTTTCGTCCCTCAGTGATTTTGAGTTCAGCGAGTAGCGCAACGAGTAGCACAGCAAGTAGAGCGGTCAATTTACAGCATTTTGCACTAAACACCATGAACATATCACTAGATTTGAGTTATAGGGAGTTATAGAATCACAAGGGGGTTCACATGGCTGGGTTAGAAAAATGACCAAGGTGGCTGACATTCAAAACGCGTAAGAATACAGCCAAAACACGATAATTTACATGACAGCTGGCCTGGGTGGATTTCTGGGTGTGTGTAGGTTTGGGGTGGGTGCACGTAGGCTTTCTCTTAGCAAAGTTGTGGTGTACAGCAGCTTTCACGGCTTACCCATCGGAACGACGATTGGTAACAAAAGTCACACGTTGACATGCACTACATCAAAGCTCTGCCGTGGAGGGCGTACGCCTTACTTCGGTCAACGATGCGAATTGTAATGGGTGAGGGTTGGACATAGATATGCCGTCCGCAAGTTGAATGAGGCTCTGTGGCCCAATTGTCCTTGCTCTGAGTATTATATAGTGTTACCCAGGTGATGTTTACAATCATTGTAAGATCTTGGGCCGCTTCCAATATCGGCTGTACATATTCACAATAAACGGCACACATAGTGTCCCGACTGTGAAACACAAACAAGCCTCTCGTATGAGCCAACACTCGTCTTACTCGACCGTACGCATCACTGGAATTTTTACAGTCACGAACGAACCAACGTGTCTCACCCAGGGGCACTCTACCCAATGGATCTAACACTTGCAGCTCAAACTACACGGGCTCAAGATGCCAAAGAGAAGGCGAATAAACTCAAAGCAATGTTGCACCGGCATGACATTGAAGTTACCAAGGACGTCCTGGACGTTTTCATGACAAAGCATGCATGGCGAAAGCCGAGATGGTTGGACAAGCTTCAAAATGTCACCAACAACATACAGATATTCTACAAGGCTATTGGGTCCATCTGCCAAGCTCATGGAATTGCTTCTGTGGTATGTGTTTTATGCTAAACATCATGATTGTCCTCAAGAAAGGATAATTCAGCGAAGAGGAGCTAGTACTGATGAGATCTTATTCTTACACAGGTATGGGGTGTTTTGAGATTTATCTTGGATGTAAGTCAAATCGTGCTATTTTTACGGCTCTCTACCACAACTGCAACGGTGAGATTGACAAGCATTCCACCTCTAGGCGTTCGGGAGATACTTTGGTCTTTTGGATAAAGTTGTCGACATCTATGATGAAATGACTCGAGCTATGCCGATGCTGAAGGACTACGCGGAGCTTTATGACGCTTGGCCGACTGTTTCGGATGCTCTGCTGGATATCTACTGCTCTTACCTTGATTTCTCCATCAATGTGGTCGAGATATTTGCCCGCAATCCACTCAGTAAGACCTCATTCCTCTCTCATTCAATCTGAAGATCTCACTGACAGCAGGGATATTGCTTCGACACAGAGGTGGTCTTCAAAATGACAGTCCGCTTTTCCCCTATCGAACTGACCCTCAAGGACGCAGCAAAAAAGATTTTCAGCACGACTCAATCTTTCAAGGATCGAAGAGACTATGTTAGGGACGCCATTGGTGTTGATACGTGGAAGAGAGTTGGCGCGATAGAGGTAACATCCATCCAGGGACCACCAAGTCAAGAAAGTCCTAAATCTGCAAGGATCTTCTCAGTCCCAAAGCCCAGTAATGGGAAGTTTTGTGGGAGGAAAGAAGTGCTTGAACAGCTGGATCGCGACCTGCTCCCGGCCCAAAGCTCACCACAAAAAACTTGCACCTTACACGGGGCACCTGGTATGGGCAAAACCCAGATAGCACTCGAGTTCGCTTATCGATGCTGTGGAACATTTCCGGAACTCCACATTTTCTGGGTCCCTGCCGAAGATGAGACCGTTCTTTCCCAAGCATTTGGCAGGATAGCCCGGCTTGTTGGAGGGCAACAGGCGGGACAGGACGTTACAGACCAGGCAAGACTTGTTGAGACTGCAACTGCCTGGCTGTGTGAAAGTGAGTCCTCTCGCTGTGTCATTCTATGGAAAGACTCTGAAAAACGACATACTCACTCCCTGGTTTTGGGTCACAGATACGTCATGGTTGATGATCTTCGACAATGTCAACAACCCCGACATCTTCAAGAAATACCAACCATGTTGCAATCATGGCTCGATTCTCGTCACCAGTCAGTATCAGAGGACAATACACGCCACGACAAAAGAGATACTTCTGAGGCCCTTGACACCCCAAGAAGGTTCAGATCTTCTCCTCGGCCACATTCCCGAGCAGCAGCAGCTGAATATGGGAGGCCCGAGCTCGCTGGCGCAAGTGTTCACGAAAATGTCAGAAGAAGTCAACGGATCGCCACTGGTCCTCGTTGGAATTGCGGGGTCCATCGTTTCCTCCGCAGTCTCGGCGGAAGGAGCCCTCATAGTGCTGCAGCAGTCAGGAAGTTTAGGCAAGAGCAACCCCATTACGAAAGGTCACTCCGCCTGGGCGTACGATCGACCTATCGACTCTGCTTGGGATATGGCATTGAAAGCAGTCCCTGAAAAAGGATTGGCAATACTGAGGATCATGAGCATGCTTGCGGCGGATAACATTCCCGTCGACATCCTCAACCGCGACCTTCAGGGCAAGCTGAGTTTCTTGGGATATCAAGACTCTGCACGGTATGTATCTTCCACATCAAGCACCTCACTGCTTCCCCTCTACAGTTTTGCAAGGGCATGCCCTGACTAACACACCTGCCCTACTTCAAGCTTCCGTCGTAAAATCCAAGCTCATCTTGTGGAGCGGTACTTGGTCGAAGACAGCAATCCGGCGTCGCCTTGGTCCTTCTACACCATCCATCGGCAACTGCAATCGAAGATTTTACGGGATCTGCAATCCGTATCCGATCAGTATCAGCCCACCTTCGATCGTGCCGTGGCACTCATTGCACGAGACTTCCCGGCTTTCCCAAGGTTCATGACGCCAAACTTCTCACAGTGGCCATCATATGAGAAACTGATTGCCCATGTCCTCAAGCTCCATTCGGTTTATCGTGCTAACGAAAGGAGCCAAGGCCAGGATGAAACCTTAACCGAGATTCCTCTTGTCCCCAGCATGGCCTTTGCTGAGCTTCTTACCAGTGCTGGATACTACTTCTATGAAGTGGGACTCGCAGATTCGTGTTTAGCAGTCTTGGAGACCGCCGAGAAGATTTCCCATGAGTTCCGCACTTCTTATACCGCAAAGACTTGGGCCGTTCGTCTTCGGAATCTGGCAGGGAAAGCACATTCAGCATTACAGACTTGCTCGAATGTCTTCAAAAACCCAAACCCTAAGGCACTCAAGTTGCTTTTATGTAATTGCCATTCGTTGGAGGCGATGCATTCTGCCGCTGACTGCCAGATTCCGAAGACGAACGGCCCAAGTCTTTGCGGTACGGCCGAAGCCACCATGCAAGGAGGCCAACCGCCAACATACGCCAATTCCCTGAAGCTCGAGACAAATGCCATTGCAGTATCCTGGGGCATCATTGAGCAGGCACAGGGGCTGACGGGTGCACGCAAAGCCATGGCAAAGGCGAAGCAAGTGGTCACTTTGCGCGAGAAGCATGCAAGTCTACCTGGCCTTTCCTCTGGCGATAGGTTCGAAAGTCAAGTCCTGCTATCCAACGCCTACAACGACATTGGAGCTCAAAAGCTTCACATGCACCAATACGCGGGCGCTATGGACTACCTCAACAAATCGCTCGATCTCAAGAGGCAGTTGGAAACACAAGGCCACACGATACCGGCATTCGAGTTTGCCGAATCCACCAACAATTTGGCCTTTGCAGCACTTGGCCAGAATTGCACAGAAGAAGCTGTGCTTCACAGCGAAAGGGCTGTGGACCTTATCAACACGGACAACAGCCACGATAGCGACGCAACCCGCTTCTCTTTCTGCTATGGGGTTGCACTTTTCCTCAGTGGCCAACCCCAAAAGGCTCTGAAGGTAATGAGAGAAGTCTACAGAAAGCGTAAAGACACCTTTGGTGAATCGGGGCGTCAAACAAGGGACACCAGTTACGCCATCAGCTTCATTCACTACGCTCAGGGTCACTTCGAAGAAGCCAGGTAAGTTTTCTGTCCTTGAGGTTCTTAGTTGTCATTCATACGTCTTTCAACCTCTACCCAATGCATATTGCATGTCTCCCCACCCCTTCTAGCTGATTCTTCTGGTCATGGTTGAACAATGAAACGCCCTGTACTGGACAGACGAAGCCCCTGGACAGGGCAGAACAACATCCTCCTCCGGGCAAAAGGAGCTTCATATTGGGACTGAACATCCTCAAGGCGGAACAACTCAGTCTTGATCAAGGACGAAAGGCTTCAATCATCTCCTCTGACACCCTCTTGTTTGCTTTTTACGCCCCTTGAATCTTCTCTCCACGCTCTGCTTTTTCACAAGAGACATCCTCCAAGCAACCCTGGAAAGATAGTTCCGCCAACTCACAGTTCCCATGCAAGCGCTTGAAAAACACCTGACCTATCACCCCCCCTCCACCCCTAATCACGTACTCAGACTGATCCAATTCATTCCAGGGAAACCATCCAAGGATGCGACATCCAACAAGCCAAGGGCATATGGCCCGCCGAATGCCTCACCCGCGCCAAGTACCTGGAGTCCCAGATTCTAAAGGCGCTCGGGGACATTGCCGAAAGCAAAAGGAAGCATGACGAGGCAGTCCAAGAACTGGGCGGATATCTGTCTGACATTTTCCCCAACGCCCATGCTCAAAAGACGGAAGGAAACACACCTGTATGCAGCGGCTATGCGTCGCTCATGGCTGCTGATGAGGCATTACGGTTTGACTATGTTGTTCCTTTCTTCGCGGGGAGGTTTGCGATGGTGAAAAGTGTTGGAATCCGAAGCGGCGTTGGGTGTTTTCCGCCGCTGGAGGACCTGGAATGATCGATGGACTTTGGGCTTCTTTATAATCTTGCGTCTTGCGTTATTGCATTGTTGTCAACGATACCCCTTATACTTCCTCCAGGTGTCTTTCGCACCTTTTTTTTTTTTTTTTTTTTTTTTTTGAATTTGAAGATACCCGGTTCATCTTTCTATGCTTCATCCTTGTTTACACCTTACCGTGGCTTTCCCATGTGCCTTAGAGAATGGAGGTAGCTATCATGAAACGAGTTCGCTGCATACTGCCCATAACGGACTCTCCTTCCTCAGTCCTTGTCGTCCACACCCATTGTAAGCGATGGCTATAACCTGTCGACCTTCAACTGATACAACCTCCTCTTGCATATCTCGCTTTCCGTTCCCTTCCTTGCATCCTTTAAAAGCGCATCCACATCCCGTTCCGCGTCCACGTACCGTCCGCTCAAAATATCTGCATCCTTTCCCATAGCGGCCAGTCGCACACAGACCTCCGCAAACTCTTGCGCCCTGGTCTCAGCATCCTCTCCTCTTCTTCCAGCTTCCTTGATGCGGTCTACCATATTCCTCACCCTCGCACTCTCCCGATAACTCTTCTCATCCACACTATCCTCCCTCTTCAAGATGCCCGTCTCAATGTTCCCAGGCACCACGAAAAAGTTCCTGGCCCCTCTACCGCCCACCTCCCTCTCAAGCGTCTCATGAAACTTCAACAACCCCGATTTAGAAACATTATATGCCGCCATAAACGGCACCGGCACCACAGCATTTCTGCTCCCCACACTAATGATACACCCCTCCCCAGCAGCCAGCATGCCCGGCAAGAACTGGTACGTCAACGCCACAGGTCCTGTCAAGTTCGTAGCGATTACTTTGTTCCAGCTCTCCATCCCTTCTGGTCCTTTTCTACCCACCAGCACTATCTCACCCCCCTCCGGCACTTCAAAGGAGAAAACGGTGCCCTCGGAGACTTGAGAAGAAGGACAGGGAGTCTGGAACTCAATACCCTCCACCCTCGCCACCCCAGCATTATTCACCAACACCGCAACCGGCTGGTTGACCCATCTCCTTATATCCAGCTCGAGTTGGGCGAAGGAAGAAGGGGAGGTGACATCGCAGATGAAGTCGCGTGCGCGGTTGGGGGTGGTCGGGAAATCGAGAGAGGAAGTGGAGGCGTTGATTAGCTCGGCGATCGTGTGGCTGGAGGAGTCTGAGTCGGGATCGGAGCCGACGGGGCCGAGAGGGTAGGAACGCGATACGCAGGCTACGTAGCACCCGGCGCGGGCGAAGGCGAAGGCGAGGAAGCGGCCGATGCCGTGGCCGGCGCCGGTTATGAGGGCTGTTTTACCGGAGAGGGGGAAGGTGCCCCTGGGGAAGGAGGAGGGTGAGGGAGGGGATTTGGAAGGGGTGGTCATTATGTCTCCGCGTGGATTAGATGCGCTGGCGAAACGCAAGAGTCTTGAGAAAAGAGTGGAAGGGGTTGGTGGTAGCTCTTGCTGCGAATGGGTTGGAGATGATGTTCAAACTCACGGGAGCCGAAAAAGCGAAGGAAAGAGGAAGTGGAAGTCTTCAAATTACATGTTTTGCGGGGCACTTCCCTTACATCAACGCAGCAACAATGCGCGGGGAAGGTACGGGTGCAGGTCTTACTACCTGCCGGTAGCCGACCTTGCAGCTGGCTTTAGGATTGACTGCTGACAGCGTTGGGTTGAGTTCCCACAAGAAGGCTCCATGTGGACTTATTCTTTGCCATTTCAATACGGCATTCGGTCTTGCATTCGAATGTCCACTTAATCGGAGAACGTTCAAAGCAACACCGGCAGACGTCGGAACTCAAACCGGGATAAAGTGGGCTCAAGCGCCGAGGTGGGTCCCGGTGCCGGAGTGGGGACACGGCAGCCCACTTCCCTGATCAGGAAGGCCAAGTCGGAGTCGAACGGGGCAGTCGCAACTCGCGCGCTCGGCGTGCATCGACGCGCAGGCAGCCATGACATTTTGACAATCGATAAACGAACTTGACAACTTTCCTCCACCAAACAATGACGAGCCAAAAGCGAGCACGAAAGATCGACAACACCCACCAGCGTTATCGACGACGATGACTGTCGAGTTTAATGAGTTGGCCGACTCGTCACATCCAAGAACAATAACGACGACCATCATAATCCCGAGTCCTCCCCTCCGGCCGAATGCCAGCCAGTCCTTGCAATGGCTAACACCGCCGCACCGATGCGATTCGATCGGACCAACAAGGCCATTCTTAGCATTGAGCCGCCGGCTGGCTGAAATCTGACAGGCGCCCGCCGGCGATGGGCAAAAGCCAACATCGATTAAATCGTCATTAGTTGCCCTCCAGGCCTCCAGCTGGGTGGACAGCGCCGATCAACCCTACCACTCAGCGGCCGAGAAACAGTGGGAAGCCAACCGAGGCGCTGTGCATCGTGCTGCCCCGCGAGAGTGGGAGCCAATCAGAGCGCCGGAGGCCGCTTTTACACGTTGAGTGGCTTCGCTGGTCTTTGCCGCTCCGCCAGTGACGGTGGTCCCTACTGATCAACAAATCCTAAAAAGCATCCCGAAGTGGCCTGGCCCTTGTTCTCTCCGGTCGAGTCCCTGAGCTGACTGGACATGGAAATTTTTGCGGTGCGGCGGAGTCAGTGATATCGGGAGACTTGTCAGATCATGATGTGAACAATGGGCGGGTCCGGTCTCGTTCGATTGAGTCCAATGTCTGCCGAACCGGATCCCGGAGCTCTGGGGTTCAACCGATCGTTTATCTTTCCTAGCTTACCAGTCTGTTGGATTCTCCGTCCCATTCTTCTCTCTTTTTGTTTCTCTTTGCTTTTGCTGGGCTGCTGGGCAGACAACGTTCATTTTAACTTTCCTGTCCAGTCAACCCTGTCTCTCCCATGGTGATGCGAGAACACATGGACCGTGAAGACCTCTAACCAAGTTCACTCTTTCTCAGCAAGGTCATCATGTTTCGTTACTAAGGAGTCCACATAACCTCCACATACCGGGTACAAACTCCATCACTTCAACAGACCGGGTACACATTCCGTCCATCACAAACTCCATCGCCACCGTAACCATGGCTGCAGGTTGGACACTCGAAGACATCCCGGCCATGGTGCCGCCGGAGGGTCAGATACCCAACTTTGTCAATCCGGAGACTATGCATCCTGTAGTGCTTGGGGTTGCCATTGGGACCATGGTCTTGATGGTCATAGCACTTGTCGTACGAATCTTCACCAAGGCCTTCCTGCTACGAGCAGTGAAGATTGAAGATTACTCCGCCATTTTGGCCACGGTATGGACACTGACTAGCACATGACAACCAGATACTAACCAGAACGCAGGCCGGCATCATCCTTTGGGAATCCATCTTCATTTATCAATCCAAGCATGGTTTCTCCCGTCATCTCTGGAACGTCCGCTTCGTCGATATCGATAATCTCTCATATGTCAGTACCAGTCAACACCAATCCCGTCGGCCTACGCGAACTTACTAACACTTCGTAGTGGAACTACCTCGCCGAAATATCCTACGCTTGCACAATGTTCCTCGCCAAGTCGTCGATCCTCTTCCAGTTCAGACGCATCTTCTGCCCCGGCTCCCGACGAGATTCCATCTGGTGGTGCATCCACACCCTCCTCTTCCTCAACGCCGGTCATTCGTTGTCCGCCATCTTCACCTATACCTTCCAGTGTACGCCCCGCGAGAAGGCATGGAAGCCTTTGATGGATGGACATTGCATCAACATTGCGGCGGCGATTATCTTCGGAGGAGCGATGAATCTGTTTCTGGATTTGGGCATGTTGATCACCCCTATTTGGGCGATCTTTCGGTTGAACTTGCCTACGAGGAGGAAGGTTGGCGTTTCGGCGGTGTTCGCCGTCGGTATCTTGTAGGTTTCAAGACGATGTTTCTCTTCCCATCTTATCTACTAACACAGAAGCATCAGAACCTGCGCTATAGCGACCGTTGGCGTTGTCGTCCGCATTCCCCTCCTTTCCGACCCCGACCTAACCTGGATCATCACCAAAGTCGGCATTTGGACAATGATCGAGTACTGCGGCACCATCCTCGTTGGGTGCATGCCCTCTTTCCCTCGCTTCTTTCTTTTCCTACGCGGCAAGGAGCCATCGATCACCAACAACGCCACCCGTGGATCTTACACCACCCGATCAAGACCGAAGACGGCCGGAAGCATGAAGTCGAACGCGACAGTGAAGAGGCCATGGACAGGTCACAGTCACTCAATGAGCACGAGGACCGTAAACTCCCACGCAAACAAAGAATCTAATGCGACGACAGCTGTGGGAGTCGCCAGTCCTCAATCCCAATCAGCAAAGAGATTGATGTCCCCGACCCAGAGCATTACCTCCAGCAACACCTTTGTCAGCCCGATAAGCCCGATGTCCCCGGTCTACGGGTCGCCAATCAACAACGACTACAGCAACTATAACAGCAGGAGGAGGGACTCAGGTATGGGAATGGGCCTCCATGTAGGAGTAGGCATCGCCATCTCAACCGACCGTTACGAAGAATCGTTTTCCAGTCCGCCTCGCACACCGCGCAGGCCAAGCTACGGCCACAACTACGGGGATCTGGAAAGAGGGTATGGAGGATATGGCCCAGGACCAGGACCAGCCCTGACAAGGCCGCGACAAGCAAGTCACGGCACGATCAGGAGTAACAGAAGTGTCCAGTCGCAAACGCAGAGGTATCACAGCAGGTGGAACTCTTCGGTATCAGCGGTGTCGGATATGTCGGGGTCATTTGGGAGTCGGTATGGAATTGGGACGTACTATGAGGAGGCGAGTGGGGAGGGTGATTGGTCGCCTTTGGATGGCCCGACGGGAGGATATTCGCCGGCGGGCGGGATGATTTAATGGGGGCCTGCGCTGGACGTAGGCGGATTTGGATATGATGGGCAACTGAGAATAAAGTTACAAAGGCCTTTTTCTTTTGTTCTTTGGTACAGTAACTCTATACTACCTAGATGTTAGCATCGCTTGCTTTCTCTTTTGCTTCAATATGATACCCTCCTTTTTTTTGGCCTTGTAGACATTTGATCGGATGCATCTTTGCGTTGAACTTTCGTGTGACCGTGCCTGATGTTCACAATAGTGATCAGATCAGCAAGGACAAGGGGTCGGTTTGGTGTTAAAGGTACAACGCAGCAGTTGGACACTCGAGAACAATGATACAACGATATTGGTCCGAACCACCAAAAATGTCGATTATGGGAGTTTAACCCATCTTGCGCCTTTCTTATTCGTCTCTACGGATGATCAAGTTGCCGCGGATTTGAATCGCAAGGAGAAAGTTGCGCGCCAAAGTCACTCCTTATTCAGCCAGCGTGCACGTACCACCCAGCCGAGCCCAAAATGTTGCTGCCTAGATGTACGCGTGTACCTGGAGGCAGGCAGGCAGGAACGGTACCCATAGTGTCTACATAGTATCTCTACCTGTTCATTAATCTGAGCTTCCCACCTCATTCTCTCCCCTTTGTCGCCAGGAATAGAATATTCTCCATTCCCGATTTTGCATCAACGACGGATACTCGCATAAGTCCAGTCCGGCCTTCCTGCCCAAGCCCGCCCGCAGTCCAGCACCACTCTACACTCGCTACCTCCCCACCTCACTGACGTACCGACGTTCTGGTCCCAGGCATCGCGGACATCGAAGCGAACGATCCCTCACCAATCTCAGCTCCCGTCCCAAGCTGTATAAATACCTTATCGATGGCAGCCATGACCGATTTCCAAACCGACGACCCCCTCTCTCAAGAAGAACTCCTCTGCTACAAACCCGCCGACGAGATCTACCACACCTACTGCAAAGCCGGCCGCGAGCAAGATCTGGTGGTTGCCGTGACCTGGATCATCATCTACATGCTCCTTATCCTCTTAGTCGGGATTTTTTTGTGGGTGAATACGAGGGGCTGGGACCTCCCTCGGAGTGGCAGTCAAAAGAAGAGGCCCGCGGGAGATGACGTTGAAGGGCAAGCGGGATACAGCGACAGTGACACCGAGAAGGGGCATGGGCATGGTCTTGGTCTTGGTCGAGATAATACACGATCGGATCCGGTTGAAGGGTTCGTGGAGGAGATCCGCAGGTTGGCGGTGGAGGAGAAGATACCGTGGGAGATGTATGAGGTCGTAGAAAGGATTCGAAGGGAGCACAAGGCACAGGCACAGGGTGTTAGGGAAGGGAGTGGTGGTGGTGATTGTGAGGATACTGCATCCACCAATGCGGCGAGATTGGCACAATGAGGAGAGGAGATTTAGGGGATGAAGGCATAGGAGGTGGACAGAAACTGCGGAGAGGAGGCTTTTTTTTTCTGTGTATCACCGATGGTACCTATTTTTCAGCTGCCAATTAGGATTTACTGATGCTAGCCTCAACCATACAGACCGTGTCCTCCTGAACTTCTAGCTGAGTGGACTTAACGGGCACTACGACGAGACCTCGATAGATGACGACAGAGGACTTGGAGAGACAGAGGCTCCTGAAGAACATCGACATTTACGAGCGTTGAAGCTGGTTACCTTAGGGAGAGGGTATGCGAGGAGAACACGGTTGTCTGGTGCTTCCGCCGGTTCCGCCCAAGGATGCCAAGAACACCAAGAGATGCACGACTCAGAGTTCAAGTTCGTCCACGACTGAGCAGGATATGGATGCCTGATTGGAAGAGTCAACCAGATGTTGCTTTGGTCATGAGGCAAAGGTGGAAGCAGATGGTGTTGAAGAAGACGGGCAGGTTATGAGTGCTATTTGGTATCTTGGCGTTGTGGCGTACACCAACCTATGCAGATGGAAGTTCTCTGATCTCTACACCTAGAGATAAATCACTTGTCGAAGGTGTCAACCCTATATAGTTTGCACTTTGCAGTGAAAGGCCGGCAATCCATCTGCCCCGGTTGGTATATATAGTACGGGCACCCGGGTTAGTTCACATCTCTGGAAAGATTTCTCCGTGTATCGTCAGGGGCAGCTTTGGTCTGTTCATCTATGAACGTTCTTGACGAACAGTCCACCTCCTAGAGGTCCTTGAGGGCTGGTTCTCCCAGAATTCATTGGGCTCCGACTGGGAGGGCCGTGTTTCAACTCGCTTGAAGACATGGTTCCTGCGCACGATCGACTGGAAGTACTAAGCGGTGGATGTCTGTATGGCTTCTGTAGCAGCTTGATCCTCCCGTCTCTTTCTAGTGTGTGGGCTTGGCTTTTGGGCTCTGGGTGATAGAGAACCTGTGGCCGGAGGCAGAGCTAAAGCGCTGCCAGGTATCAGATATCTGGCTGTCGATCTATTCCAAGATCCTCGTGGACTGGAGCTGGTGTCTGGTGCGATTTAGTCACCTCTGGGACATAGATGATAGGATAGTAGTTTTTTGACTGGAAGGTACCAGCGGTCCCAAGTCCCTCCCAACTATGCACTTATGCACTCGCACTCCTCCTCCTCCCCCCCCTTTTCCTCCGCAACGGCAACCGTTATCGAGGGCTCTCAAGCGAACGAGGTCCACGACCCGAGCCTGCAACCGTGAAGACAAGCTGGAGGTGCTGGGCAGTGGGCACCATGGCCACACTTCTGGCACGGACAGGGCCGATCTAAAGGGCAGATGGCATCGAGGAGGAAAGTCCGACACGCGTTTGATGTCACGGATGACGGCGTGATTGGTCAAGTCGAGCATGGTGTATCCGAATCGGGAAACGAGGAACTAGACGGAGAATCACCTCCTGGAGCCAGCAATTTACGTAGGATCTAGCACAAATAGTGCTACTGGCATAAGAGACCGTGTGAATCAGCATCGAGCAGCGAGGGCCGGCTCCTCTAAACAACCCTCAGCCACAAGGGTCCAGGAGAAACTCAAAGAGGGCTATACCTTAGTCCATACCGGGCGATTGGCAAGACTCCCAACCCCATCACAACAAACCGCTGCAATCCGCGCCTTGATTATAGCTATAGAAGCTACTATGCATTGCATTCTCTGGTCGATGAAGAGTAATGCGGCTTGGGGCTTTACAAACGCAAATGGCGAGGACCTTTATCCTTGGCCCAAGGACAACTACGAATATATCGGGATCAACGACAAGAAGAACAAAGGTGGGAAGCGACTTTGCGGGTATTACGTTCTGGGGGTTTTGTTAATCACATGGTTGTATTGGATGCTAGGGCGCTTGATTTCTCCCTAGATGTGCGAAATCTTTTATTCCCCATCACCCGAGATCTGCCAGTAGCCATACACAGCCCTGACTTTTGACGGGCTGTGTACCCACGCGGCCTTTGTCGAGGGAGTCAATTTTGGTCATGCCCAGCATAACTCAACTGCGATCACGGAGGCCGACATCTATGAAATGGAAGTATCGGCGGAGGAGAGACGCCAAGCGTATCTCCAAAGAAACCGGGAAAACTATCATATGATGAAGCTATTGTACCCGGAGCGCTGGCAAGCCATGGCTGCCAAGAAAAGCGCGAGGCAGTCAGCACAGTACTGGGACCGGAAGATAAACCGCCCAGAAGAGCATCGTGAGCTACGGCTCAAGTATAGCTTAGCCGCCGAAACCGAAGAGCGTAAGGCCAAAAAGGCAGCGACATACCGGGACAATGTCGAAAACAAGTTTCACAAGCCCCATTTGCACTTATCGTCCACTTTATCACTGGAGTATGTCTCGCACTGTTTCTGATGCTTGTCATCCTCAAAACACCAATAGAGGCACCCCCTGGATATCAACAGATCCAACCCCTTCCATTGCAGCATTCCAGGGCTCAAAAGGAAACATCATTCCAGTGATGAGGAGGCAACAGAGAGAAAGAAGGCAATGCGTGCGGGAAAAGTAGCAGGGCATCTACAACCCTGGCCAACCTTGCAACCCTTGCTCAGGTACGCATTGGGGCAGAACGGGCAAGACCACTTCTTCTCTTCGGGCTTTGGAGGGGGTGGAAGGCCATCAGCCTTGGCGTCATTGACCTGGTGGGACCACTGCTGGCAATGGCGGTCGTAGTGGCACTTGTAGGCCCAGGACAACGTGCTCAGCCGACCTTGGCCTGGGGGACAAACAGTGCAGCGGTATCGCTGCTCCCGTTGGTGTAGCTTGGGCTCTACGTATGTCCCTGCCACCTTTTGTTGGTGGTCGAGGGTGAGGTTGTGGTCGTCCAAATTTTGTTGCGACTCAAAACTGAACCCACAAGTTGGGCACCGGCCTTGCCAACGTATCTGCTGTCGTGCACTCCATAGCAGATTTACCAGCCCAAGCACAGTTACCACAGATTCCCCCCTTCAAAGCACTGCTCCCCGATCTGCACCCAACAAAAGGAGACCAAACGTTCGGGGTTTCCCACTGCTGCTGGTCGGTATAGATAGAGGTAAAGGTCTTTTGGAGCATTTGGATGCAGCAAGTGCACATTACCTAGTTCCTGCAAAAGGAAAGACGGTTAGTAAAAATTAAAAGGAAAAGGACGAGGAGCTGATCTCATACTCAATCCCGCACGCCTGGATCACCAAGCCTAAAATGCGCTCCGGCTTCTGACGTATGTGCCCGGCATAATACCCCCACGGCCAACCACCCTTCTTCTCGACAAAAACACGATTAAGGACAGGTTTGCTTTTATTAGGCTGTTGGAGCATCCCTATAAAGGCTTTCCTATACTCATCTGCGAGATTGAACTCGCGGAGGAGCCACTGCATCCCGTTGATGTCCGTACTAGGAAGGACCCATTCCATATATAGGGTACCGGCAATCTCAGGCTTGCTCAAGGTATAAACCCGGACGAGGCGTGCAAAAAGTTCGTGAGCGAGAGAGAGCTCGATACCTTGGAGGCTCTCGGGACGAACAGATCCGCCGGACAAGTCAATGTAGACCTTAGATAGAAGTTGCTTCTTGCCGTCCGGTCGTTCGTTACAATGCCGAGGATTGTTGTTAGTTTTGAGAGGGAAGCAGGGAACCCGATCCTCGCGCTTGGGGATAACGTGGCGCTTTTTGACAACGTATTCGGTTCTCTGGACGTCGAAGGGGGACCACGGCGGAATTGTATTGCCATAAGGAAGCGTAGAACTGATAACACCCCAGACGGGGTTATTAGCCCTCAGCTCCTTCTTCTTGTTGACAAGCTGACCGCCTGGTACGTACCTGCTACCCATGCCCACAGTCTTGTGAGGTACTACCCTGTCGTTGGTCGAGTGGTCACTCCGTCCTGTTTTGTTGCTTTGTTGGTGTTGGAAGGAGGCCTTGTGTTGCAAGGGGGTACAGACATCTTCCGCCTTGAATCAAGCAAAAAGAATCATCTGATCTTCAAGTGAAGTGCTTCAGTTCCTAGAACATTTACTCGATATATTATCCAGAATTTGCCAAACATATTCATTGATCCGACGCGTCTCGGGGAAATCTTTCATCGCTTCTAGTTATATCGGTTGAAAACTTGCCTTTGTCGTCTTTGCACTTTGCTCTTTCTCCCACAAAGTAGCGCTGTGGCAATCGCCCCTTCCTCGTCTGGCTCACGGTGCGCCGCCACAAAGATCTTCCCGCGGAAACCCTGAGGAAAATGTGATTCCTTGTGCCTCTTTGCGTCCGGCTCCTCTTCCTCTCCTTCTCCTTCTCTTCTTCGGCCTTCACCGCCTGGGCCTCCCTAGCCTCCTCCCTCTTCTCAGCCCTCTCCATCGTAGCAGCTGGTCGGGTCAATTGCACGTGCGGTGGTGGATGCTAGGGGGGAGTGCTGATAGTGGCCGAGTGAGTTCGCTTCCGGGTGGGAGCGGGAGCAGGAGCCGCGAGGCCACACAGGGATCGCGCGAAGGCGTCCGGCAGGTGGCTCTGTGCTATCTGTCCCGACCGGGGCGACTCCATAACGGCATATCGGAAGCATATGAACTCCAAACAGCACGCTGAGAAAGTTCGTCCCAAGAACGGCGGCGCCCCGAAACCTGTACTTGAACACCGTCGCCTGGCAGCGCGCACCGCCAGAAACCTTGCCGCCGGTACCTTCCGTTGCACCCACTGCAATCCGGACCATGTCTTCGGCACCAAGGCCCACCTAACAAAGCACCTGAACTCCAACAGGCACAAGAAGAGAGTTCAGCAACTCAAGGACCAAGCCCAACTCGAGGACCAAGCCATATAGGCGACTACCCTGCCTCACCAGCTGACCCTTCGACACCGACAACGAGTACGAAGGCCCTACCTTCCAAGAGTGGTGTGCCTACGAATGGGCAAAAGAAAAGAACAAGAGGAACGGACAAAATCCTGGACCTCCTGCAGAGCCTCGAGAAACCTGGCGTTGGACTCCAAAGATTTATTGCTGTTTTGCTTGAGAACGTCGGAAGTGAGTGACTGGTAGGCATTGTGGTATTACCGTAGATCTTGATGGAGAAGGCGCTCTTGATCCTTGATAGCGGTGATCAGTTGTTCCCATACGTTGGATGAAAGGTCTTGGACGAAGCGTGCAAAGCCACCCTGGTGATATGGGAGAACAGTGCGGACCTGGAACTCAAGCAAGTGCTGGTAAAGAGCGATAAATTCATCCTGAACACTCTCCGTCCAGTTTCCGGTAGTGGCAAGCTATCAGCGAGATCCGTCGACTCACACGGCACACATGCCATCGACCCAGCCTTTTTTGGACCTGCCACCATACACTTTCGTCACATCGGCCCTTGGGAACCAGGATCGAGGACTGGTACAGAGTCACCCACCGCCAACAGAAGCAGCACCAACAGCAGCTATGGCAACCACCGGAAGAGGAGAAGAAGTTGGCCCCTCCTCCTCGGAGTCCTCGATGACCATTGTCCTCTTCTTGGCCCGGCCTCCCTCCTTCGCGCTCTTTCTCTTTTTCCTGCCGGCGTCCTCGTTCTTGCCCTGACTGGCATGTGCGCTGTCTTTGGAAGTGGTCTTCTTCGGCCAAAGCGACGGAAGCTCCTTCCTGTACCTCTTGCCAAGTTCGGTATACACATCTATGGGGAGTTGAGACTGCTCGCTCATGGTCTCAAGCTGGGACGCCATCGGGTGTGGTTGATCGCCGTCCTCCGTGGAAGCTTGGCTTCTGGCGAACTCAAAAAATCCATTGGCATTACGAGTACAGTTCGGGCTGGCACGGACGAGTGGAGTCCTTGGGGGCTCAGTGGGTTGCAGACCAGCTTGAACTCCGACAACCACTCTCAGTGCTTTACACGCAGATCATGAGCGACGCCGCCATGAACCTCAAGTTGAGGCGCCGGAATGGGAACAGAATGCCGTGTAATCCAACCCCCTTCGGCGACGCGTGGTGCAGAGACAACTTTACCCAGATGGTGAAAAACACTGCATGGGGCGAGCCCCCCGATCCCGCCGATTTTTACCTCAGCCGGCCACAAGGTGGCGTCGAGAAGCTTGAGGCAGTGCGCAGCCGATGTGTAGAGTAGCCAGAGGACCCTCATGAGGAAGGTGCTGAGTGGCGACAACTCCTTCTTGCTTGTGTTGTTGTGCATCTTGGTTGAGATGATGATGATTGCTGATTGATGAGATGAAAAAGTGGTGTTGCAGTGTGCAAGAACTGATGACAGAATGTTGTTGACTCAGGGGCAGGCCACTCACACTACATTCATGTTCATCCCTCCGGATCAGGACAAAAGGGCTTGCTGGGGAAAATAAGGATCCCCCCCCCCCCCTGCGTTCATCTCGTGACGTTCTTTTCTCTTTTTTTCTTCACCAGCGTTATTATCTTTAACATGGCTCCCATCCCCTACGAATCACGTCATTTTATTTACGCCGAGGGCCTCAGGGCCACCGCTCCCGACACACCCGTATAGGTTGTGGTCGTCGTTGCGGCCAGCGTCTTTTGGGTTCTCGCCCGCCCCAAGGACCTCTGGTGGCCGTTGTAAGTCAACCTCACTCCATCCACAGCCCATATGAGCTAACCAAAGAATTAGTCGGTCACCTGGAGAAATCCGGGCGGAGCTCGAGCGCCTACGAGAGAATCCTCGGCCTGAGGTCCTCCAGCGGCGCAGTATAGTTTTCTTGCATCGCTAGAGAAAAAGGCCTTCACGAAAGTGATCCCGGCACTGGTCCCGACCCTGGGCTCTCGGGTCGTCGGTACCTCTAGATGCACAATGCAAAGCGAGCGGTCGTGGAGACTTCACTCCGACTGCGGTTGCGACTGCCGCATGTGGTTTCTCCTCGGTACCTCTAGTTCCTCCCGGTCGTCACGGCCGGTGTTGTCGGTGATCTATATGACAGGTAGGTAGGTACCTCTATGCAAGGCTAGGCGACAAAACACATCTGGGACCTGAACCTGCTGGAAAACTGCCGTCTGTGTCGACAGTAGCATGAGCAAGCCCGCAGCCCATCACGGGCTGATAAACTGGACTGCTTCCTTCTGTGCGAGAGCTGGAAGAACGTAGAGCTCGGTTTCTTTTAGGAAGATATCGCTTGCTCGGGCATTTTCCCTGGATATGGCAGGGTCGGGGGGTCGAGGTCGGCTGCTGTTGTCCAGGGGCAGTCGAGGTTCCACTTCCGTTGCCGCCCTCCGTGGCCGCCGCGGTCTCTGCAGCAGCCGCCAACATCGCCTGCCGCTTGTGAGGAGGTAGGTATGAACCAATATCGATCGAATGATCCGTCGTCCTCTTCGTCTGTCTTTTTTCTTTTCTGGCTTGCTCTCCCATAGGTAATTTCTTACCGCGAAGTCCTTTCTCTCAGGCCTGCCCGCCCAACGGGCCTTCTTGCCATTCGCTATGGTGGTCTAGTTGTCTTTGACCCAACTGGTCTTGAAAGCAAGTCTCCTTTTTTTGTCCACGGGTGAGTAACGGACCTTGGAAGGATCCTGTTTGACAAGGGCATGCATGCTGGCGTCCGCCATGATTTGGCAGTACAAATCTAGACAGCAGTCAGTTATGGTCAATATCTCACAGGCATTTCTGGCATACGTACTCTGCAGCCGCTCTTGGGCGTTTGAGTTACACTTGTTCAGTATAACGTAATCCGCTGGCTCTGGAAATCTCTGGAACGGGCCATAGTGATCTCTTATGACTCCGTTTGGGGTGATCTCCATGTCCCATTGTCCAGACGCGTTAAGTGCAACAATGGTTACACAGATGGAGGTGTGTTTGTTGACTTGTTGATGTTGTTGTTGCCGGTACCTAGCTCGGTGCTGGGTGTCGGAAAGAGAGACAAGAAGACGGGATCTGGGCGTGGGAGGATGAGTCTAATATACTGGCGAATATGCCGAAAGAATGATGGTAGAAACTTCTCGTGTGAGGGATGGCCCTAACAATCAATTCGAAGAAGGATGCTAGAAAGATGTCTGGATGGTTGTGTTGTTGGAGGGGAAGAAAAGCGACGGCAAAGGAAGAGTTGGAGCTTGAAGCTTTGAGGGTTTGATGGATGTTGCTTTGGTTGCAAGGGAGACTGAAGTTCTTTTGGAAAGTGATGTGAGGTGAGGTACTTGTAATTGAACAACCGGAGCTTGACATCCGTCGTGTGTTCTTTCCCAGCATGGGTGACCGGGACCGTTCTACGGGCAAGTGCCTCTATGTCAACTTCGGTTCGTTAAAAAGCTCATTGACTTCTTCTTCAATGCAGTCTAACGCGCTATCAACCTCGGCTTCGTCGTCCGAGTCTCCAGTTAGATCAATAACCGGATGACCACCGGGTTCGGGTCCGGTTGGAGCGGAAGGAGCATGCGTAGAAGAAGCACCGTGATACAGTACTTAGAGGTAGTGGGATGCCGACTGGAGAGAGTGGGAGACCCCGCGAAGGGTGGGAAGATACACAAAGTAAGAAGGTCGAAGCAAGCATAACACAATCCAGCAGCCGCGTTATAAACCAAAAGCAAAAATAAAGAAGGAACGAATTATCTCAGCATTCAGACCTCTCTTTCTTCGTTCGGATATTATAGGTACGTACCCCTGGCAACTGTCAGACCCACCCGGACCCGCTTTTTTTCTCAAAACTCTCGAAAGAGAGGTCTAAATTCCCGATTAGTATTAATTCGTTTCATAATAATATCCCCTATACAAATCGGAAAAATAGCTTTAACCTTTTCTCGATGCAAATTACTAACTCTAAAGGGAAAGAAACTAAAATACCCTTAGAGGTAGAACTTTTCTCTAGCTTTCTAATAATACTACTTTTTCCTTAGTCTGGTATTAAAGAGTATTAACCGTAATACCCATCCTTAAAAACGCTTCGTAACAATATCCTTTTTTTGGACATTTTCCCAAAGATAGGCATTACCATTACCACTTTTCTTTATCCAAATTTGATGTAACCTATATTATTGGAAAGAGAATCCAAAGTTCCACTTTCAAGTGCATTCTGAATATTTTCTTCCAAATAATAATATTATAATTAAGGAATATTTTTTTTTAGCTAGTTATTAACCTCTATCCAGTTCCCATCAAATTGTAAACTCAGACCTCCCTTTCAGGAATTCTAAAAAAAGTGGGCCTGCCAAACGATAGCTGTCAGCCAGGTACGTACCTATGAGATCCGAACGAAGAAAGAGAGGTCTGAGCGCTGAGATAAGGAACGAAAAGGTTTGGTGGTGTTTTGTTGAAGCATCGACAGTCGTCGTTGTAAAAGGCATCCCCACAGCGCCAAGAACAGCATCGTGATAACCTCCTTAAAGTGGGTCACAAAAGCGGGGCAACAGCAGACATCGTATCGTATCGTAGGCCTGCCTCACTGCATAAAAACCGCAAAAATGAAGTCTCCTTCGGTAAGGATCGAACTTACAGCCTCCAGATTAACAGTCTGACGCGCTAGCCAATTGCGCCACGAAGGAATAATGCCCAGCAAACCATTTCGCCACGGATTAACCCGCGATTTGGCGCCAGGCGACATTGTGTATTTGCACTACCTCTACCTAGTCCTTATATACCCCAACTCAATCAACTCAACCGCAACTTGACAAAACTAAACAAAAGTGCCGAACAAACTCCCAACTCAACTCACAGCTTCATTACTGTGTAAGACAACGAAACGACGGGCTCATTTCCCTTGTCTTTTTGACATTTATTTATTTTTGCCTTTGCCTTTGCCTTTGCTTCTATCTATACATGATAAGGAGAAAGGATCTGTACTACTCAATTTCTTTTCTCTTTCTGCTTTCTGCTTTCTGCTTTCCATTCTTGACTTCCTGACTTCCTGTGCACTTACCTATCCGTCCAATCTCGGCTTATCGCTTCGCAGTTCGCACCTCACATCTCCAAATCTCCAAGTCGTTCGTTGCGTTCATTCGTCCTTCCATCTCGCTCTGTCTCGCTCTGTCTAGGTAGCGACAGACAGCACCTTTTGATGCACCGACTTTAGGCCGACGAAAGAATACATGAGGGATGATCTACTTTTTACGTATAGCTTTCTTCATTCCATGCAGAGCTCCTCCGATGAGGTACCTACCCTTTCACCCTTTCTTTCTTCATCATTCTTCAACTCCCTGGCTGGCGATCCTCCTCCCTTGCTTCCACCCATCTGCTCATCTACACTACTGAACCGTCGACAAGGGGCGGCAGGACGGCAGGGCGGGGCGGGTATCGATCTTCAGCAATGCTGCAGAATGAACAAAGATCCATCCCTCCGATCGGTACCTGCATTGAAGTTCTACCTACGTAGCTCACTGGCGCCATCAACGTCAACTTATCATCCTCACCTCGGGATGCAACGGAGACAAGTCATTTTGAATACTACTTATCATTCTTCAAGCTATCAGAAAGCTTACTGAACCTAGCTAGCTAGCATCAACACTGTACAAATAATCCCAAGCATTTGTTCGTCAAACTCCAGTACTCCGTGATTCGAACCGAAGCAGAACATCCTCCAATCCATGATATATCCATCATTTCCATTTCCACAAGGCATGAATAAACGCCTGTAAACTCCATCCACTTCCACACAGCATAGCTCGTTCTCAGCTTTCAGCTTCCAGTTTCCGAGGACGCATGCTCCTATGTGATAGGCACTGTTGTAGACAAGTACTGTACTAATCCATCCATCGATATTTTCCGATGATGGTGATGATGACGATGTCGTGACATAGGTCGATCGAGGGTTGCGCTCGACTTAACGAACGACGGAGGAGGTTTCATCCCAAAACCACTAGCATTCAGCAACATCCACCTCCTCCAAGACACTCTCACGTACAGGCGAGGACGGCGCGCTCTGCTGATCCTTCGCGCTCTCGCTCTCCCAGAGCTCAAAGCTCTCACCCGTGCCCTCAATCGGTTCCAAAACCGCAGCCTTGACCGGTCCGTCGTGGACGCCCATAACACCATCGATGCTATCCACCTCGTCGGAGTCGCTGCAGGAGCTGGTGTCGGCTTCGTCAGCTTCATCGTCCTCAAAGTTGTCGACGAAAATCTGGGGAATGTCGCTGCGTTGCTTCTCGCTGTCCTCCTCTTGTGCCTCGTCAGTTTGAACCGCGGGGCCAGCAACAGTAGCAGCAGCATCATCCTCATCGCCCGGCACCACAAAGAAATCCTCATCATCCGTTCCC